GCTTCTCCACAAAATTAAAATCCTTTTGTTACAGTTAAAAAGTTATTCCTTGCAGATCCTCCCAGCATTTGCTCTTCAAAATACAAGAGTTTCCAGTTGCTTTACTTGGTATCCCTCACAGCATTTAACACCTCCTTTCCACGGCCACTGGTGTTTGCAGAGCAGATCCCAACCACGAGACACCATGACAGGATCTGCAAGTGTGTGCTCAGCCCAGAGCTGATTATTTCAATCTGCCTGTGCAGTGTAAATCAATCCAGAAACACTGTCAGGTAGATCTTAGGGCAACAGAATTAGCACATTTCCAGCATTCAGACCATCCTGTGTAGCAAATCTTGTTGTATATTGTTGTTCTAGACTCCACAGTCATGGGAGGGGGCTGGGCTACAACTAAAATGTCTGTGATTATCATCATCCCATGGTCAAAACTTGTTAAATGCCTTCAGGAGTTGCAGCTCCCTGGTGCTCCCTTAGATGCTCCATTGCCATCTTCATTGGCATGAAGAAGGATCACATCAGCCAAGACATGGTCTTCAGGGTGCGTGGTACAACCCAGGATTACTCCATTCTAGTGCAGGATCTATTTTGGTGCTATATTTTCATGGGCAATGTTTTAGAAGTTGTGCAAGAAACACTGATCGAGGCCCGAGAGACTTGAACTGGCAAGTTTGGGAAGGTTGAGTAAAATAGAGATGAAAAAGCTGGATAGCTTCTCCAAGGTGCAAGGTTTAGGACAGTGGATTTTAAAGAGAAAAAGGATCTTTGCAGAGCAAAAGTGTCTTCCAAGTACAAGGGGAACAGAAACGACCCAGCAGCAAAAGACAAAGGCAGTAATTCAATTTTACAAAGCTGTGTGTAGCCCAGCAAAGAGCTACCCAGGCAGATCTGTGCAAGAGCAAGGAAGATGATATAACCTCTAGATGAAGGATTAAGTTTCAGGATCTTCATTCAGTGGCATTGTTCTTCATTTTCCTGTTGCTCTGGCCCTCATTAGCCTCCAAACCACCACTGCACGGGGGGGCTGCACACTGGTGTGCAACAAAGGAACACGTAGTCCCCCACAGAGCCAGTCATCCAGCAGCTGGCATTGACTCCTTCCTCAGCAGCTCCAGAACTTCCCACTGGGACGGGCCTGTAAGTCTGAAAACTTAAAAAGCACACTATGGAATGTATTTCTGGCCAGCACAGAGCATGTCTCCTTCCAGCCCATTGCATCTACATCTAGCAGTGCTATTTGCTACACCTGTTTCATGTTTTTGATAACAACAGTGAAAGTTCTGACGGTTAAAGCTTTCAGAGTGCAGTTTCCTGGTGGCCAGCAATGCTGCACTGCCACTGTGGCTTTGCAAAAATTTTCCATTGTGCACAGATAAATAAAAGCTCCATCAAGCACAATTACTCTCTACCTGAGCTTTATTGCATTTTAAAGGGCTACTGAGGTTTGGGAAATCAAAACGTAAGGTAAGAAAGGTTAAGAGTTTAGCAAAATTACTGCAGTGGATTAAATGGATTAGGTTATTGGGTGTGTTTAGGGGAGGTTTAGATTTCTTCACCAAAAGGGTTGTGAGGCACTGGAACAGGCTGCCTGGAGAAGTGGTGAAATGACCATCCCTGGAGGTATTTAAAAGCCATGTAAATGAGATGTTGAGGGACATGGTTGAGTGCTGGACTTGGCATTGCTGGGTTATCAGTTGCACTTGATGATTTGAAACCTCTTTCCCAACCAAAAGGATTTTATGCTTCTATATTCATTTAGGAAGCAAAAATAGCTACCTTGGGCTTTGTGTAATTTCAAATGAGCAGAGTTCTGCTTTGGCTTTCATCTTCTTTAATACTTCTCAATTTGGTAGAAGAGCACAGGGTTCATATGAGGCCAGAATTTGTCATTCCAAGTTCAGACACTGCTCAATTCTGTTTGGCCATGTATATTAGTCATTATAAGAGTTTGGCTGATTAATTGTTTAAGGCTGCATTTTGTCTCCTGACCAGATCTCAAAAAAAGTGGGTCTTGCACAAGATTGCTCCTTGTAAACCTGAGTAAATCCTGATGCACTGGAAAAATTCAGTCAGGTGTTATGAATGTCATTCCATGTCAAAAGGGAAAAAACCCCTAACTTCAAAGAATACCATGACTGCTTTGGAGCTCAGCATCCTGCACAGTGACACCTACAGTCTGCAGGACTCTTCATGATTCCCTGTTATGCTCCAGAGTTTGGCCCTAGTTGAAGAATACAATTTAAGGTGAAAAGCATATCTTCATAATGCTCAAAATCTAACAAATGTACACAAATGTGTTTCCATTAGTTTTTCTTTGAATTATTCTGTTATTAAAAATATAGTTCTCGTTTGAAAAGAAATAATTCTCCACACGAAGAAGTAAGAGCCATAAGGAGGGTAATTATAATGGTGTTTTAAATAATTTGCAACTGTTTCTTTGCCAAATAAACCTGTGTTCACGTTTTGTTCTTCCAAGTTCTAAAATTTGTTCTGCAATTTACTAATGTTAAAACGACAGAATAAGCTACTGACATACTTCCATATCAAATGTTTCTGTTTTCTAACAATTAACTTTGGCTACCTTCCAATAGCAATTACTTGTTTGAAAACCTAAAAATCTTTAAATATTGTTAATTGCTCTGAAGACGTGAAGTCAATCTTTTGAATAAGAACATTTGCAAATGGAAAATGTTTTACATCCAGAATTTGTGATGCTGGCTTTCCAAATATGCCTTTAATATTCCAAACAGTTGCATCAGTGAAGCAAAACCTGAACGTAGATCTGAATTCCCTCTCACTTTTATTGCTGGCCCTGGCCCACAAATCAGAGAGGATGTATTTCTAATACAAGAATGTTCTGCAGACCAGTAAATCTGGGATTATCTCTTTGGACTGATTATGTCAAAGCTCTTTAGCCACAGCACTTTTGGAGAGCTAAAAATAAATAGGAGAGGGGTTTATATATTTGTTCTGTGCCTAAATAATCTGTGCATATTGTGTGAGACTGTCTACAGTGTGAGACATGGCATCTGAACTTCATGTTTATTTATAAGAGTCCTTTTCCTAGGAAGGATTTTGGCAAAGGGTTTAAAACAAGCTGTCCTACTAGAAGCTCTTGTGGGTTTAAGTCTAGGGCAAGTTTAAAAAAACTGAGTTCAAATCAGAGTCATTTACAGCAGATGGACACTAGAGTAGAACTTGGCTCCATGTATTTTGAAAATGGATGAAAAATAGTTATCTTACCAGCGATTAAACAAAGTTATGCCACTGAATACAGAATATTAATCCTGATTCCAGTGCCACAGTTATGCACTATTAAATATCAGGATAATTTTTTAATTTCTGACAACAAAAGTCCTTAGAGCAGTTAGCAGAAAGATGGGCTTGCTGTCATAACTGGCGCTTTTGGTTTTACCCCTAACTGGAGCTTTTGGATTACCCATAACTGGAGCTTTTGGCTTTACACGTAACTGGAGCTTTTGGTTTTACACATAACTGGAGCTGCTTTTTGCTTTTTGTTTTTGTTTTTTTAAGGATAAGAACTGAGGATGTGGCCTTTACTTCCCAGATTTTGTTTATCTTGCTTGGTCCTTACTCAGACACTGCTTAAATTGAAGTAGTGGCTAAATGCACAGATTACCAGTTCAGAGAGAGGTTAATCTAGTCAATGCAGATCAAGATGTGATTTACATTGGTATCACATTTGCCTCTTGGTGAACAGTTTTGTTGTCTTCATCATATCCAACCTATCCTGAGCACACTATACTCAAATGAAAGGTGTGAATAGAAGGTAAGATCATAGCACAGTAGTGCTGACTGGAAAAGTGATCCCCAGACCTACAACCCATGTAGTGGAACACAGACTCCTAGTCCTACTTTAACGTATCAGTTCCCATAATCGGATGTTCAAGGGAGCATTCTTGAAGACAGAAAGACAAAATCTGTTTTCACTTGCAAAGGTAGATCTAGAGTAGTTCCTTCATGGCACTTCATATTTAATCAAACCAGTTCACCTGAAAGGTGAGTACAGGCATGGCCTTAGGTACACTGTGTTAGAAGGTGTGAGAAGAGCTATTTTTCTTTGATGGTATATCTTATACATATGATATTTTTCAACTAGTTATTGTAATGAACTTAAATCTTTGCACTGACTTGACTGTAAAAACTGTGAATTTATTAGCAAGATTTTTTTTTTTAAGTGAAAAGAAGCTATTTCCTTTACCAAGAACACATTTTCCCAGAAGGGAGCCCACACACAGTATGGCTGGCATGCATCCTCACCCCCAAACATTCCATTTATCTCTCCTCTCCAAGCATTGGGCAGGTTCTTCCCATTCATATAGAATCTTACCAAATACAAGAAACATCTTAGACTGCACATCAAATGTCAGATTTAAGCCTTCAAAAGTAGTACTGACTGCCTTTATTATGTGTTCAAAGGCTGTGGGAGCACATCCAGAATTTGATCTAGAGAGCATGTAAAGAACATCCTTTTATTATTTATTCATCAGCCTTTTTCTGCAAGAAGAGGGATGGCTTAATGATGCTAGAATGTTCATGTTCTAACAAACTGAGCATATTTTAAAGATGTGATTCCATGTTTGGTCAACTTCCTCTTGACCCCTGTGCCTCAGCCTTTAACTGGTTGATGGTCATGTTAATAGTTCATTAGTTGTAAGACTGTGCTAGTCTGGGCTGTACACTGTGGCTGGGTTAGTTACCTGCAGCTCTATGAACAGGAAATGTGACCAGTCTGCAACAGGAGTCTCTTACAAAAGCATCTTCTCTTAAAATATTGGGAAATGAGACCTTCAGTCCAGGTTCTAGCACCCAGAAGACTCCACATTTTGTTTCTAACATCTCATAGCTAGCGAGCGAAAGAGAATCCTGTATTTGAAAAGTAGTGTAATTATATCACAACTCCAGCCTCTACCTGGTATTTCTTGTTTTGAGATTGGCAAACCTCTTTTGGGTTTCTAATAGCATTTCTTGTTTCTTTTTAGCCATGTGACACAGACGACGTCCTGGATCCATCCCGTAACAAGTGCCCTAAGCTTGCTTTGCTCTGAGGATGATGAGGATGGAATAAGAGAACTTCCTGGGTCCAAGAGCTGAGGATGACTATTGGCAGAAAGTAGTTTATCTAGTTTCTGTAGGTTAGTGAGAAATGCACACTTCTTAATCTAAATACTTCTGATGTCAAAGGACCTGCTGACATTTCTCCCCTTCAAGTCAGAGGAAGTTCTACCAGCCTTTTAGGTGGATTTATAGATGCTACAAGAGATGCAGGTGTTGCAGAAGTCTCCCTTCAGTCCGTAATCTGTCCTGATTCAGTGTGTAGGGATCACACAATCTTAGTGCTCAATCCAGTCTTTTCATGACTTCTCTACTGGCATAACTCCAGTGATGTGAAGTGAATTTTTCACAGCTTTGACCAGCATGAGAGTTAAGATTAAGCCATTGGTTTTAATTTCACATGCTGGATTCCAGGCAGTGATTGATGGAAAGATGCAAGGTGAGCTTTTTTCCTTCTTTTGACATAATGTAGATACCTTTTAACTACTGAAAATTTTTATTCTTGTGGAAGAAATTTGCAAGTAAGTTTTGGTAATAGAAATCTAGCAATTTATTAGAGCCTTGATGACTTTTAAAACAAACACTAAGATTGGTGGTTGGGCTTTAGGAAAAAGAGTCTTGATTAAGTTGTCAAGTAAAAAGAAACTGTTTTGGTAGAGGACACCACCCTCTGTCAGCAATATGAGGCAAGAATGAAAATAATTCTACTTTTGTACTCTGCTAAGCTGATACATAAGTGCATCAAATATTTCAGTGGAAGCTGTGAAGTTTCAAGTACAATGAAACCTGTGAAACCACCTCCAGGATCAGCAGAAACCAGTCACCTCCTCAAAGCTTGTCTTTAAGTAGAACAAAATCATTTTGTACACGTTGGTGATGACTTGGAGAGGATAAAGAAAATGATGGGGTTGCTAGTGCAAGCTGATGGACAGGATTCACTGTGTCTCTGTAGCACAGGATGTTTTAAATGTCATCATTGACAGCACAGTGTAGGATTCAGCTTTGTCAAATATATGATTCTATGCTGTTTTTCTGGAGACTCTTTATGTGTGTGTGTGTTTGTGTGTGTGTAATAGCAGATGTTGACTAATGAATGAAAGACCTGGAGCTTTGCAGAAGCACTGATGAATATCATAAAGGAAAACCCTTTGTCCTTCAGCCTCAGGAGAACAGGTTTGTAACAGTGTGAGGAAAGCTCAGAGCTGTGCCAAGCCAGGCACACTGTAGCTGTTGATCCTTTTGGATAAAAAATAATATACCTTATTATAAAAAAAAAAATAAATCCAAGTCTCTTTGAATAGCAGTGCAGCAATCTGCTGCATTTGACCCATAAGCTGTAGAGCACATCACCAGATGTTCTTCCTGGAGGAACAAAGTGCAGCTCACAAAAGAGTTTTTTGCAGGCTTTGCTGGAAGCGTCAGGATATATTGAATAAGCAAATAGGAAAAATTTGGGTTGTACTTTTAACTAGGTCAGAACCAAATTATCTACGAATCCACACAGGTGGTGTGGATTAGGAAGAAGAGCTTGCTCAGCAGGCCCACAGTAACTTAGGTTTCTAAGAAAACTTCTCATAGCAATAACACAAAAATACTTTGGCCATATTTTGCTCCAATGGCTCCTACGTGCTCCACGGCCTCCTTTGTGTTCTTGGGGAACACAATCTGAAGGGACACAGGGCACGTGCTTCAGTTTCAGGATTGGACACTCTAGAAGCATTTGTATTTTAATCCCTTTTCTGAGAATGGCACAGACACGGAGGATACATGATGTTCTGAATTCCTTACAGTACTTGCTGTAGCCTTAGTAGTCTTTTGGATGCTTTGTGACAAGCACTTTCAGTTCATCCTTCCATGGGATCCAGCTTGCTTATAGATTCCAGTTTTCCAATTCTGTTCAAGAGAGGCTTGAATCTCCACTTGACCCTTGAGGTCTTGGTTTATTCTGCTTGTGACTTTGTGACAGCTAGCTGGGTGTTCCAAATAGGAGAGGCTATTTCGGGACAGAGACTATGGATCAGGCAGGCTGCAGAAGCAGACACTTTCTAGAGGCCTAACAGCAATTTAGGGCTGTCCTTCAGTAGGATCAGCTGGAGAGAAGAGCTCTGCACACAGGCTTGCCCTTCCTGGGGAGCAGGTCATGCTGAGGGGCTCTGTGCAGGTGATGCCCAACCTGCTGTGCAGGGGGGATTCAGACCAAATGCTGACGTTCTGCCTGCTCTGCTCACTGCCTCCACCCACAGCTGAGAACATTTCAGAATCATGGAGACTGTTTCTCCCTCTCATTTAAAAATTTCCCTAGAAATTAAATGTTAGAAATAGATCTCTGCATCTATCTAGCTTTTCCTCTGGTAAGCATCACCTCTTCAGATAATCTGCTTGTTCAAGTTCTCCCTTATTGAGACTACATTTTCTTACCTACAGTCTCCAAATGTTCTAATCTATTTTTGTAAGCTTGCATACTTGCTTCCTCAGTTATTTCTCTCTGTCTCCCCTTGTCTCTTCCTTTCTGTGAAATAGTTTGTGAAATTATTTTGATTAAGCTGAATTGTGTATATTGAGAACGTGGGTCTAGGATAACTTAAAAGAATTTGTAAAAAATAGTAAACAAGTTTTCATTTTTATTCCAGAATAAAACTTCAGTGGAAAAGAAATGAAAATGCATGTTATATCCTTAAAAAATAATGAAAATACAGCTTTATAAGGGAAAATACAGCTTCATAAGTGTTACTCTTTACCTGAATACCTGCACCACATTGCCCTGCAAATATTCCAGTAAATGTAAAATGGCACATTCTCCCATCAAAGCAAATAGCTTAACACAAATACCTACACAGGCATATTAGCTACTCAGTTTTGCAGGTGATAAATAACTTTCTTGCAATGTTACTCAGGGTCTCAATAGCTTAGATGACACTTTTGTCAACCCCACATTATAAATAGAAGCACACATACACATGATATTTATTCCAAATATTCAGACAGTGCTCAGGTGTGTGTGGTGCATGGCTCTGCTGACATATAATGCTGCACTGGATTTTTCTACAGTGAAGTCTGTAGAAAAGATACAGCTGATATGTAAGCAAATGTATAAAAAATTTATAGCTTTTTATGATCAACTAGGGAGTGTTTATCTATCCCACAAAACCACCATCTATTTAAATGCTTCTCTTGATGGGCTGCTTTATCAACATGAAAAAAAAAGTTTTGGCTGGTTTCTTTAAGTCTGTTTCTGACAGACAGGAAGGTGTCTTTTGGCATCAAGTTAAGGCAAGAAAAATCCTTTAAGAAAAAATGTTTCTGCTTGTGAAACAAGCCAGACTGTGCAGGACTGACAAGTGGGAAAGTCTCTTCTGAAGGTCAGCAAATGCTGTTACAACTTGGCCTGTGAAATCTTCACTTTTCTAGGAACTGATGGGATTCTTAAACTCAGCTCAAGAAACTCATCTGCAAACTACTCAGAAACCTTAATGCTTACTCCAAATCAAGCACCAAAAGTCATGGGCCTTTTTGCATGTACTAGGCTGAATGATTTTTTGCCTAATTCTGGCTTAAGTCAGTAACAAAACTTCCAAGTCAGCTTAGGAGCCTTTGTTGAATTCTGTACTCCTGTCCCTCATGATTTGTGCACACTCCTTGCTCCAAGGAGCATCAGCTTGATCTTTACCTGCTGCAGAGCCACCTGCCAGCTCTGTCTGCAAAGATGCTGAGCAGCTTAAAGATGTTGATGGGAGTTAATGGGAATTAGGCACCTAACCTACTTAGATGCTGCTATAAATGCTGCTAGGCATGTTTAGGTACCTAAATACCTTAGTAAATCTTTCCCCTTACTGCATGCAATGATTGATCATGTACCAAAAATCAAATACCAATGAGTAAAGCCTAACTTTTGTCCTCTGTAACAAGCTTTGTCTTTCCCTTGGGGATTGTTTTCATTTGTTATTAAAAATACCAGCCATCTCACAGGTTGTAACATCTAGATTCTGTTCATGTTTTTCAGTGACTTGATTATTTATTGCTCATTCTAGATTTATTTTCCCCAGACAGTGGCTGATGTAGCCATGGATTTAATAGGTTGATTTTCATAACACCCTTTTAAGGTAAGTGATTTTACTACAATATAAAGGTA